CCCCGCCCCCCCTCCCCTTCAATAGCTTCTTTCTACCCCTCTAATGTGGGTCTTTCCATAGGGTTTCCTCTGCCTGGGACCTAATTCCCTCCCTCACAGCATAAGGTCATTACTCTCCCAGTCGCTGTCATATTGCTCTATTGTCTTTATAGGACTTGCAACTCCAAACCATCTTATGTCTGATGCTCCCTTCTGAGCAGATAGAAGAGCTGGTAAGGGTGGGGAGGGGGGTGCTAGGTAGCTTTAAGAGCTGGTTTGACCCTGCACACCTCCAATTAGCCTGGACTGGTCCTTGATGTCCTGAGGGAGGGAGGGACCCAGGGGAGAGGCCCTAAGGGTCCTGGGGGCCTCCCATTCCTGTCCAGCCACATTTCCCACCAGAAGCCTGGGCCCAGGGTGTAGCGGGTATGGGCACAGCCAGGCCAGTACATGCAATTGGCATTTGGGGACATAGTACACAGAGGCACAGTGGGCCTCAGAAAGCGGTGTGGGGCTGATAGAACTGGACATCAAGACCCTACCTTCTTGGCACTGGGTCTGCCCTTCTCCCTGGTGTCTGGTTCGGCAGTTCAAGACCTCCTGCCACACCTCCCAGTAACCCTCGTAGCACAGAAGTAGCTCTCTTCGGGGCCGCCCTGGCTACAGCTGCTTAGGACAGGAGATTGGCATAGTTGTGGGTTGCAGTGGTGACAAGAGGTTTGGTTAAGAGGACCCCCCTGCCTGGAACACCCTTTCTCACTGGGACCCCCACCCCCTCATCCTGCTGGGACCTTCTACCATGGAGCCCACCATCGCCAAAAGACCAGAGCCTGGCAGCTACCTGAGGCCTTGGTTTGGCTCCAGGACATCTGACATCACAATGACCAGCCAATTAGCTGCTGCCAGTGGTCCAGGAGATGGATCCAAGGTCTGGCACACCTGCTGCCCAACTTTGGCTTAAGTTGCATGGAGGACAGGAAAAGACCTGTATCAAGGGTCACGTAGTTCTTAGGGGATGCTGGGACACTAGGCCAGCACAGACCCAAAAGGAACCTAAGGTTATATGTGTGGAGGTCCTCTTTGGGTGACCTCAGAGCCCGTGAGGTGGGGGCAGTGGCAAGGAGAATATTCCTGGGCTAGGGTGGAGGACACAGAACGGGTCAGGATTCTGAGGGCTGGGATGGGGTCTGGCTGCCTGCCCCTACTTAAGAACGACAGCAGCACTATGTACAATTAACAAAAAGATTTGTATTAGAACATTTACACTCAGGGAAGAAAGAGGTATCTTCATCATCAAATGTGGAATGTTGAAGAAACAGTTAAAATAAATAAAAGACTCCGAACGCGATTGGGGCTGGCTCAGGCTGGGACTCACAGAGGCCTCTGCACATCAGCTCCAGGCTGCAGGGGCCAACGCCTGGCCATACTGGCCTCCTCCCCGACGCAGCACAGCTGTGCCTGGGACACAGAGAGTCTCTCAGGTGCTGGTGCAGCCAGCAAACTCACTCCCCACTTTCCTCGCTTATCTCTGTGACAATGTCTATGAGGCTCTGGAGCCCGAAGATATAGCCAGCATCCTGGCCCTCATGTACCACGCTGTCCTCGCCATACAGCCTGCAGGTGGTGTGTGCAAAGTCGATCATGCGCACGTCCACTGAGCTGGTGCCAATGGGCTTGTAGGCATAGGCACCTGCAGACTCGTCAGCTGACTCCTCAGACAGGTCCTCCAAGTCCTCAGCATCTGAGTCCAGGGCCACCTCAGGCCATTCTTTGCCATCATAGATGACCAATAGGGAGCTTGAGTAGAAGCGGTAGGACTCCTGTCGCTCCAAAATGGCTTTGAGCTCAGCCAGCTTCTTAAGCACAGGGCCCAGGAGTTCACGGCGCAGATACCGACCATTGTGGAAAAATTGGAAAAGTGCCTCCTTGAAGCCCTGCACTGACAGCTTTCGTCCGTGGTACTTGTTCATGAACATAAGCTGCCCACTCCCTGCCTGGTACACCTGTGGGAAGAGACCAGCAGGTTAGGTACTGACAGCTGTCTCAGAGCCTGGACCCTGGGGAACAGCAGCAATAGGACACCCCTGGATCAGATCCTTTAACCTGTTAAGTATACCAGTCATACAAGGCAATACCCTTTCTGATCTACCACCACTCAGGATGCAGCCCTCTGACCTGGTTCTGTCCTCAGACCCCTGCTTAGCATATCAGTTGGTGGAGAAGGCCTAACCATCTTGCCTTCATTCCCACTCCTGTCCAGAGACTCTGGACTCAGTCAACCAGCTCAGCCCCAGACAGTTCACCGAGGCATGCATGCTTTTTTTTTCTAACCAGAAAGCAACAGACTCACTCAGCCATGCTGAAATCTTGAGAAAACAGCAGGACTATGCCCACGGTGGAGAGTAGAAGCTACTGGATGCCCTAGCCAGCCCGTGGTATGCACCAGCACTCCCCTCACCTGCATGCCACACACACGGACACCGATGACAGCAGATGTGCTCTGCTGGCACTTGCGGATCTGGTTGGCTGCCTTCTCCTCTGAAGCATCATCACCATGCTGGCGGGTACCCATCTTGAGGTCCAGGACACAAGGCACCTCATAGCGGGAAGTCAGATTTTCCAGTAAGATGAATTCTGAGTGGTTAAGGACAATCCTCCCTCTAAAGAAAAGGTGCTGCTGCATGGGGGCTTTGGCACTCCAGGGCACAATGCCTGCACACAATGCCTCAGAAAAGCCCAGGTCCACAGAAGGCCCCATCAATCCTGCTATCCCCCATGTAGGGAGCCCAAGGCTGACTAGAGGGCTAAAATCAAAGAACTGAATTCTTGTCAGGGAACTGGCATGAGGACCGCCTGCACCCGCACTCAACATAGGCCTGGGCGACACACATACGGCACTGCCACAACTCAACAAGGTATGGGAACAGGGTTTCACACTGTCCTAAGTTTCAAACAGAACATCAAATAAATAAATCCCATAACCTTCTATGTGAACTGGAAATATCTGCATAAACTCATGAAAAATTTTCTCTTTAAAATAAATGCGGGGGCGCCTGGGTGGCTCAGTCAGTTGAGCATCCGACTTCGGTTCAGGTCATGATTGCACAGCTTGTGAGTTCGAGCCCTGCGTCAGGCTCTGTGCTGACAGCTCAGAGCCTGGAGCCTGCTTCGGATTCTGTGTCTCCCTCTCTCTCTGCCCCTAACCCACTTGCATTCTGTCTCTGTCTCTCTCAAGGGTGAATAAACATTAAAAAAACCTTTTTTTTTTTTTTTTTAATTTTTTTTCAACGTTTATTTATTTTTGGGACAGAGAGAGACAGAGCATGAATGGGGGAGGGGGCAGAGAGAGAGGGAGACACAGAATCAGAAACAGGCTCCAGGCTCTGAGCCATCAGCCCAGCGCCTGACGCGGGGCTCGAACTCACGGACTGTGAGATCGTGACCTGGCTGAAGTCGGACGCTTAACCGACTGCGCCACCCAGGCGCCCCAAAACCTTTTTTTTTTTAAATAAAATGAAAGTGTATTTCCCAGCTGTGTGGCACTGAAAAGGTCTAGAAATAATGACCAGATAGTTGTGTGAGCACCCTTAGTGTCCAGACCAGTTTTCCCAGGGCAGGGATTGGTGAACTATGGCTACTTGTTGTACAGCCTATGAACTAGAAATCGTTCTTAAAATTTTAAGTTGTCAAAAAATATGCATAATACTTCATGACACATGGAAAATTAAATGCTATGCAAATCTTGGTGATCATAAACAGTTTCATTGGGGTATAGTCATGCTCATTCATTTACATGATTATCTATGACTACTTTCAAGCTACAGTGGCAGAGGTGTGGCAGCTTCAGCCTGTGAAGCCAGAAACATTTACTATCTGGCCCTCTACTGAGCAGGTTTGTAACTCCTGCCTCAGAGGAATGACTGAACTCACATCTGGAGTAGGAAATATACATGACCCTGGGCCATCTTTTCATACCAGGAAGTAAGAGAGTCGTCACAGACTACTATGATTGTGTCAGAAGGACTCGAGAGCCTATTTTAAAGTACAAAAAAAAATTTTTTAAATGTTTATTTATTTTTGAGAGACAGAGAGAGACAGAGCATGAGTAGGGGAGGGGCAGAGAGAGAGGGAGACACAGAATCTGAAGCAGGCTCCAGGCTCTGAGCTGTCAGCACAGAGCCTGACGCGGGGGTTGAACTCTCCAGCCATGAGATCATGACCTGAGCCGAAGTTGGACGCTTACCAACTGAGCCACCCAGGTGCTTCTCAAGAGCCTATTTTAAAAGGCAAAACAAAACATGGAAGAATCTGTGCATCAGTAAAGATAAAACTGCAACGGACTAAAACCGCGTCAAATATGTCTAAATTCACAGGTTCATAATAATGCTGAAAAACCCACTGGCATTTTGAATGGATGTTAAAAAACCCACCCATTATTCCAAATAATCAGTAAATAATCTACCTTTCCTATATAAACTATACCTATGTATAAGCATATAATTGATGAGAAAAAGTTTATCTTTACAGATTCCAGCTAAGAAGGAATGACAAAATTAGAAAAGTGCCTAATGAAAAAATGGATCTAAGGCAATAGCAACACAGGCAAGACAGACAAATACTGCACTTCCTGATGGCCACTACCATTTCCAAGAGATCCTAGCTCCCACCTACCCCAAAACTGAACCTAAATCTGACCAAGCCTCTAGATCAAATTATCAAAACCTAATGGAAACAAAGAGAAAAGAGTAACATGTAAAAGACCACAGGGATGTAATCAGTAAAATTCAGATGGTGGGAAAGTTTAGAAGACCTAGTTTCTTTGACAAGAAATTTCCAAGATGAAAAAATAAAAAGGGTATTTAAAAAGACTTAAACATTTCAACCAAAAATGTGTGGACTTCACTTGGCTCTCCATTCAAACCAACCGTCAGTAAAAACATATTTATGAGACAATTAGGAAAATGTGGACACAAACTAGATACTTGACAATAAGGCACTACTGTCCAGTTTTAAGGAGCTCACATCTTAAAAATACCCTTGTCTTGGGGCGCCTGGGTGGCTCAGTCAGTTAAGCGTCCAACCCCTGATCTCGGTTCAGGTCATCATCTCATAGTTCTTGAGTTTGAGCTCGCATCGGACTCTGAGCTGACAGTGTAGAGCCTGCTTGGGATCCTCTCTCTCCCTCTCTCTCTGCCCCTTCCCCACTCGTTCTCGTTTTCTAACTTAATTAAAAGAAAACCCCTATCTCTTAAAGATGCATGATGAGATGTGTATGGATGCAATGACACAGGACACACTTCAGAAAGAGCTCGGCTGGGGGCACCTGGGTGGCTAGTCAGTTGAGTATTTGACTCTTAGTTTCAGCTCAGGTCATGATCTCATGGTTCATGGGTTCAAAACCCACACTGGGCTCCATGCTTACAGCACGGGGGCCTGCTTAGGATTTTCTCTCCCTTCCTTCCCTCCCTCTGGAAGAAAGGAAAAGAGGGGAAGGGAGAGGACAGGAGAGGAGAGGAAGAAAGGGAAAGGGAGAAAGGAAAAGAGAAAGGGAAAGGGAGAAAGGGGGAAAGGGAAAAAGGGAAAGGGAGAAAGAAACAGCTCGGCTGGGGGATGCTGGGTATAAGAGACAGTCACGGCCCAAAACTGACATAAGTAGGTTAATCACCGAAACTGGGTGACTGGTACTTGTAAGTTCAAAGTATTATTCTATGTTTAATATGTGTAAAATTTTCCCTAGTAAAAAGTTAAAAAAAAAAAAAAAAAACATACTCAATTCTGAGGAACTACCCCCTCAAGATTAAAAAAAGAAAGAAGGGGCACCTATGTTTCAGCTCAGGTCATGATCTCACGGTTCCTGGAATAGAGTCCTGTGCTAACAGCACAGAGCCTACTTGGGAACTCTCTTTGCCCCTTCCCTGCTCATGCATGCACATATACTCACTCTAAAAATAAATAAACTTTAAAAACTAAATAAATTAATTAAATTAAAAAGAAATCACTAAGTGAAAAAAAAAAAGCTGGGGGGTGGGGGGGAAGCCCCATGCTTTATTCATGTGCCAGTCTGGTGAACCAGGATTGAAAGGTAAGCACCCATCTGCCACTCCCATTCTTGGCAGGAAGCACTATCTGGATAGGGACTTCTGTAGGAGTCTGAAAACACAAACCAGCCCCTTGCACTCTAGGCTAAAGCCTCCCTGATGCAGGTTGGTCCCTCCATGAGGTGGCCCTCAACCGCCTCCCCACCACCTGTATTCCCAGACCAGCCCTTGTTCCTGAGGGAGTGGTATTTGCCTATGGTTACCACAAAGGGTGCCCTGGCACAACCATGACTAGAAAATAAACCCAACCTCTCTGAGCTCCTAGGATCTCACCTACCCTCCCCTATCCCCAAGGCAAAGATACCCTGTGAGCAAAGGATACTGTATTGGTTCCGATGTTTTGCATTCTCCTTCATTCTCTGTAACTGTTGCTGGTGACACTTCATGCTCCAGGGGTTATAGTGTTTAAGCTGGGAACTGACATTCCCCTTTTTCTCTACGCTGTAGTACAAGACTTCAGATTTCTTTAGCCACTCAAATTCTTCTTCTAACTTATGGCTGTAAAGAGACAAGGAGCCAATAAATCACAACATCTTATCAGAATTCAGGGCCAAAGAGGCATGAAGAAACTTTTGGAGTGATGGGAAGTTTGAGATCTTGATGTGGTGGTGGTTTTAGTGTACACATTGAACACTTCAAATGGATACATTTTATTCTAAGTGGATTATACCTCAAGAAAGTTGACTCTGAAAAAATTAAAGGGCCAGATCACTGTTTTTTCTATAGCAAGAGAACCTAAGATGCAAGAACAGCCTCTGCCTCCCCCACTGCACACCCCCCCACCCCCAAGCAACCCTCACTGCCCTTTTTTTCTAGGCAGTACTGTCCCCTGGCTTCTGCTACATCCAAGTTCCCTGATTCCAAATGCTGGAGACTGGGAAAAGCTGAACTGAAATCCCATGGGAATAAGCCCACCTACTTAGCCACATTATAAACACTTCTCAATTTTTATATATTATTTATATTTTTACCAGTTCTGCCAAGAACCGGCTCTTGGAAGGCTCTGTGTCAGTGGATCCTACATTCCGGGGATGCCCAACTGACCATTTTGTCTCCCACCATCAATGAGTAACTTGAGGTGATGGGACAGTTCCCACCTTGGCCACTGCGACATCCCCAGGACGTAGCACAGGGCCTGGCACAGGGCAGCTGCAGGAGCAATGAGTGACTAAAACTCTTTTACAGCTGCCACTGTAGCTGTTTACCCAAAATGGCATGACCTAACCGAGAATCATTACAAAGAAGCTGCCATGTGGGACCTGGCCACTGAGTGACAAGGCACCATCGTTTGAGTCTCTAGCTCCAGACGACCGGACTATAACTAAGATCCCATGACACCTCCCCTCCCATAGAGTCCAGGGTTCCCCTCTCAGTTTATACCCACCTTTTCATCTTCTCCTCTTTCCGGTGCTGTCTCACCCAGTCCTTGGGGCTCTTTTCTGTCTCTAGGACGTGATGTTTTTTGTTTGTCCACCTCAGAAGCTTACTTTTTGGTTCACAGTCTGAATTGTCTACACTGTCCACAATTCCGTGGTCCCCTTTTAATGGATATGCTATTAAACACAAGTTCCTGTCTTCATCTTCTTCAAAGCGAACTGATACCACACCTGGAAGGGGGGTGAGGAGCAGAAAGAACTTTTAATTCCAAAGATGATGTGTTATAAATAACATGATTGTAACATTTGGTTTTTTCTTACCCTGTTCCTTAGTCTCTATGTTGCCAGAGGCCCCAAACTCATCTGCAAACCTAACAAATATCAAAACAGCTAGAAAAGATGACACCATACAAGACAAGCGATTAGGGAGCAAACATGGCCGAGAGTCTTCCTCTCTGATGCACTCAACAAGGCAAGAGCCAAAGAATTACAAGACACATTTTTCCATTATTGAAAATGTTTATTAAATTTTATGTAATTCTTCTAATCCTAAAAGAGACGTAAAAACATTTGCTCTTTATATCTCACGGGAATTTTTGATGCCCTAAACAGAAACTCCGGCGGCCTGAGACTTGCTTTAGAGCAGAGCCTGAACACTGGGAACAAAGGTTTGCCCTGAAGGGTAAGAAGGGTCCAAGGGTAAGGGAAGACTGGGCAAGCAAAACAAAATAATAAAGGAGCAAACAAAACAAACCACACAGCACAACAGACACCCTAGCAAAGGCTTCTTGCAGCACCCCCACACGGGTGGGCACCCCAAGCCTTTTGTCCTCAAACATGTTACTTTATTGGTCTTTGCAGTCACAAAAGAACAAAATGAACACAAGGCAAATAAGGTTGGGCCGGGAGCACAGACGCATGGTGGCCTCGAAAGCAGCTCTCCCCCTTGAGTCTCTAGAACCTGCCATGTGTAATTAGACAGTCTTTGAGGAGGGGGCTGTCAGGTGGGAGCGTTTCAGCAGGTGCCGACGAGCGCCTTACAACCGACTGGCTGAACACCTTTCCTCCCAGGCCTCTCTGGCCTGGGATCACTCAATTTGCTCAGTCCTTGCTGCCCGCCCGCTTGCTCGCTTGCTGCAGGGGAATGCGTGCTCAGAGAGAGATGACACTTCTGAGGTGGTCCCTGTCTTTGGGCGCAGAGGAGCAGAGGAGCCTGGGTAGGGAATTCAGGGGACCACACTTCCCTGTGGCCACGGGGAAACAACCAGGGGGAAAAGGGGGACAAGGGTGGCCAGCTAACAAGGGGCCTTTGGCTTTGTCCTGGAAAAAACAACAGAGAAGGACCAAGTGAGGGCCTTCAACTCCCCCACCCCCAACCACAACACACATGCATATTCACAGAGTACAGAGAGAGGCGCCCAGTACATTCTGTCTTCAAAGAGCATGTTTCAACAGTCCCAGAAGAACCTAAGTTGTTCAAGAGTCTTTTGTACAACCAGGCAATGTAAATTTAATTTCCTTAATGGGTTCTTTGATTTACAAAATATCCCCCATTCCCAGGAAAGTCCACACCATGATGATGGCTAATGCTGTCCCCCCAAAAATGCATTACAAAAAGAAAGAGAGAGTCACCATATGTGAATCAAAGAGTTGCCAAAACATTGCAATTTCAGGGACATTCCGTAATAGCAAAGGGTTTCAGCTAATCAGCACAGGCCTCCCACTCCTGCATTCCATCTGACTCAACCCTGCTCCCAGCCTACCTAATCACCAGGGCTTCTGGTTTCCTGGAGGACAAAAAGCAGGCGGCAAGCATTCTGGGAAAAATCCTCCCAAAGTCTTCCCCCGCTGTCTCCCATGGGCGGGGGTGGGGGGACTCCTATGGGGTACTGTGATCAAGAGATACCTGAACATAAAACACAACTACACTTCCACCAAAAATAAACTCAAAACAAATCCACAAAACAAAACAGAATTAAGCAATCTTACCAGGGCTTGCAAACTGAGGGTGTGAGGTGCTGGGCTGAGGGCCAAGAGGAGAAGGGAAAACACAGAGTGGGGAGGAAGGAGGGGAGGGCTCCCGGGATAGCTGCCCGCGCCTTCCCCGGCTGCGAAGTGCCGCCTTGCATCTCCTCGCCAGCGGAGACCCCTATGGCAGCGGGGGCTCACCTTTGTACTGGGGAGTGAATTTGCGCATCTCAGCTGGGAGGGTCTCGTAGAACTGGTGCTCCCTCGGAACCAGGGGCTTGCATAGGGTCGTCTCATTGAAGCGGAGCACGCATGAGTGCCCCCCGACCTGGTGGACAAAGGGCTCCAGCAGGACGCCCTTGGTGCGGGGCTCCACGTCCATGGTCCTGAAGGCTGGGCTCATCCTCCAGACGCAGGCGGCAGGAAGAAGGGGGAGGCGGCGGGGTCCAGCGGCCAGCGAGTCCTCCGTCCGTCTTCTGTCCGTGCGTCCGTCTGTCTCGCTTTGACTCCTCAGTCGCGCGGGCCAGGACGCTCTGCCGGAAGCAAAGAGAGACACTGGCATTGGAAGCGGCCTGGAAACCGCCTTAGAGCCACTAGCCTTCCTCCAGCGGAAAGACAAGCAGCCTGTGCTCTCGCCGGGCCCCACCCACGCCGCCCACCCCGGCTCCGCCTTCTCCCGCCTTCTCCCGCAGAAACAAACAGCCAGAGCTCCCGCGGGGCGGGGCCAGACGCCGACAGGCAGCGACTGGCTCCGGGTGTACCCACACAGCCAGTGCCCTCCCACCACGACAGCGGCGTTAGATGGGCGGGAAAAACGCAAAGCCACATAAGGTAAAGTCCCATTTCAAGGCTAATAATTCAGATTAAATCTTACCATTTTCTAATAAGATTAACTCCATGCATATATATTTTTAACTTTATTTTTTAGAGTAGTTTTAGGCCCACAGCAAAAATGAGAGGAAGATACACTGACTGCACACATAACCACCTGCTCCCACACATGTGTTGCCTTCTCCATTACCAATATTTCCCACCATAGTGGTACGTTTGTTACAAATGATGATGAACCCACAATGACACATCATCATAGTTTACATTAGGGTTCACTCTTAGTCGTTAATTGTACTTTTATAAAATGCAGTTAAAAGGAAAATCTGCTTAGTCACCATCTAGTAAGATCTACTCCCCCAGGGTGTCCACCCCCCACCCCCACCCCAAGGCCAAAGACAAGCCCCATTAACCTTATTAGCAGTGGAGCTTGGGCCTAGCTTTAATGATTAACGTCTGTATCTAAAAACAACTGATCAAGGCTGGCTAACTCCATTTAAAAAGATACACGGTGTTCTAGGTCACTGACTATTTTTATCAGTTCTATCCTGATCTCCAAAAGCTGGGGCACACCTTTAAACCAAAGCTGTGCTCCTACCGTAATCAGGGCTCTCATCCACTCTGAGGTTTAGGCCTTAGACCTGACTTTGCATCACTAAACACCCCAGATCTTAGCAAAGCGACCTCTACACAATTGTTAACCACTTCAAGGCATGTCAAGCTAGGTCTGTTTCCTGTCTATAATTTACAGACTACATGGTTGCTACTACCACTACTTAACAGCATGTAGGCCATTTCATCAAACATACAGGGTTTTGTTTTTTTTTACTTTTTTTTTCTTTTATGTTTATTTATTTCTGAGACAGAGAGAGACAGAGCATGAGAGGGGGAGGGGCAAAGGGAGAGGGAGACCCAGAATCGGAAGCAGGCTCCAGGCCTGACGTGGGGCTTGAACTCACAAACTGTGAGATCATGACCTGAGCCGAAGTCGGTCACTCAACTGACTGAGCCACCCAGGCGCCCCCATACAGGGTTTTTAATGGCAACTCTTCCAGTTTCCATTACCCCAGCTGACATGCTGGGTAAGAATAGGTCTGCTAAAGATGGGTCCACTGTCCTCTAAGGTGAGTAAAGCACCTATTAAATGTTGTTGGCTCATCACAGGAACTTACCTCATTTGGTCCTTGAGATACCTTCTGTGAGGAAGACACTATTCTCTCTGTTGCAAACAATGACACTGCTTTGGGGAGGTGAGGGAAGGGCCAGGGACAATAAGCTCCCAAATGAACCTCAATCTTTTGGATGCCGTCATAGGGCCACCTCTAGTGCCCAGGGTCTCTGGCATTAGTACCTTCATACAGTACTCCTACATCCATGGGACACTTAGCCTGTTGTGAGAGTCCCTTCACCATGTACTTATATTTTTTATTTTTTAAGTTTATTTACTATTTTGAGAGAGAGAGAGAGAGAGAGCGCGCACGTGCACGCAAAAGCGGGGGATGAGCAGAGAGAGAAGAGAGAGAATCCCAAGCAGGCTCCACACTGTTAACGCAGAGCCCCATGTACGACTCAACCTCATGATCTGATCATGACCTGAGCCGAAGTCAAGAGTTGGATGTTCAACCGACTGAGCCACCCAGATGCGCCCCTATGTTTTATATTTATATTTGTATTATTTCCTATGTATTTATAAAGTTCTCTTTAAGAGTTTCAACTGGTATTAATCTCTTTTTAGAGAGAACTGACTGTGGGTGCCAAATGCAAAGAGATGAAAATCAAAGGTCCTGATTCCTCTCTTGGCACCACCTTCTCAGCATCACAGAAGCCCTCAGGAGGGCAAGTGCTGGGAAGGGTTCTGTGACAATCAGTTCAAAGAATGAGTACATTCCAGACATTCCAGACTCTCTCCAGAAGGTGGAGCTCTGGTATACTTGGCCACACAAGCCCTTTCTCCAGGTTTACACAGACCAGTTCATAATAACCCACTGAAAAGACCTCAGGAGTACGAGCAATACCAAAGGAAAGCTACTGTACTGACTCACAGTCGGTCTGCCAGTAAGTACCCAAGCACGAACCAGGTACCATAATTATTAAATTGTTATTGCACAAGATGCTCCTCATGGTCCAGGCTTTAGAAACAATCCAAACCTTTCATACGAGTATAAACTGCTTTCGTTGTCAGTAATGCTAACACCAATGCAAATCCCTTTCCAACTCTGTCCAAGATTCCTTAAATTTATTCAATTAAATAGAAAAATATCTCTCTCCAGGCATCTTTTACCCACCTCCACCCCAAAGCTCAAAAACAAAAGCCGGTCCTTCATAGCACTCTCTAGTATGGTGCAGGAGTGTGGCTAGAGGCCAAAAGGCCAGGTGAATGTCTCCATCTACTCCCAGGTCCTCAGTGTATTCATTAGCTGCTGGGTATGACATGGCATCTTGCCACCCTCCCTGCAGCACCCAACTCTGGCAGTCCGTAGGACATTGCTCACTGGAGAGTAATCATCATCTTGGGTAGAGATGCAAGAAAAATAAGGCCAACCCTTGCCTGAGGCAAGCTGATGACAGAGGAAACTGCCAAATGTGAGGTGATGTTAGGGAGACAAGTGATTATCCTGTAATGAGGTGAAGCCGGGTTCCAGTCCCACTTCTGCCACTTGATTGCTTAGAGAAAGACTCCAAGTCCCTGGCTCCCTCTGGGTTCCAGTTTTCTGGTTTCTAAAATGGAGAAGAGAGGCCTGAAGTAGATCTCTACTCTGTGGGTGGTGTAATGCAATTAGTGAATACTAGTTTGTTTTAATCATATAGAAAAAAAATAGGGGCACCTGGGTGGCTCAGTCAGTTAAGTGTCTGACTTCAACTCAGGTCATGATCTCATAGTTCATGAGTTTGAGTCCTGCATCGGGCTCTGCACTGAAGTGCGGAGGCTGCTTGGGATTCATTCTCTCTCTCCCTCTCTCTCTCTCTCTCTCTGCCTGCCTCTCCCCCACTCACTCCTCTCTGCCTTTCTCTCTCAAAATAAATAAATAAACTTAAAAAACAGAAAGTATCATTGTATTGCACATAATAATGTAAGTCCTGTTTTGTGATTGTTTTATTTCAATTATGTTCAATCTCTCAATATGAACATATGTATGGCTTCACTGTACTACATATTTCTTACATTTGGGGTGCAGACAAAGAAGTGGAGCTTCCAGTCTAGCTTCCCTTATAGGCCCTATCTCTGTGGGAAATTGAAGAAATCAAACTTCCCAAGGATTACAGAGCAGCGTATTAGTGGCCTCAACCTGGCCAGAAGGAAGAAAAGTACCCAAAACACCTGCTTTTTCACCTGCTCTTTCTCTGTTCCACATGTGGTTTGAGCAGAGGGTTCTCTCAATGGTTTTTAAACATCCAAAGTCTAAGGCCCAGTTTCCCAAGAATCCTAGAGTATTAATGGTTACTGAGATGTCCATGCAATGTGTGGACCCTGTACCAAGGGGGGGGGGGTGGAAAACAAAATACTGCCTTCAGATTTAGCATCTATTTTATTTTCCACATTGCCTCACATTGGCCCATGAACTCTGAACAGGTAAGGAAAACAACATAATTCATCCTAGGACAGGACACAGATTTCCTCCACAGTCCATCTCCCTAAATCTGTCAAACTGGTTGAAGAATTTACTGGAAACAACACCTTAATAATCTTAGCTTCTAAAATATTGCAAATAAAACAACTATGACTCATGAAAAGCCCTGAGCCGTTAGCTCACACATCTAGAATTTAGTTTAATGAGGCTACAAATGGAGTCTGCTGGGGCCACTTATTTGCCTCAAGAAAAGCCCCAGGGTTGGATAGTGATAGGGAATGTTGTGAGGCACACTAGCCTGATGGTGGAAAATCAACACTCACCATCTACACCTGCTCTCCCTGAGCCCCACAGCCGCCACCATACGGCATCTGCACATAACCCATGACTCCACCACCAGGGTCAGTCACTGAACTCTTAAACACTGCTGGTAGGAATGCAAAAAGGTAACAGCCGCTTCAGAAAACAGTTTGGCGGTTTCTTAGAAAGTTCAACATATACTTATTATATGACCCAACAATCCTACATATGCATATGCCTAAGAGAAATTAAAACAAACGTCCACATAGGCTTATACATGAATGATCATAGAGGCACTATTTACAGCAGCCAAAAGGTGGAAACCCAAACATCCATCAAATGGGTGAATGAATAAACAAACTGTGGTATATCCATATAATGCAATATTATTCAGTAATAAAAGTGAATGTACTGATACATGCAACAACAAAGATTCATCATAAAAGCATCAGAAGTGAAAAAAAGCCAATCAGAAAAGACTATGTGCTATAAGATGCCATTTATACAAAATTCTAGAAAAAGCAGAACTATAGAAAGTAGATAGGCAGTTGCAGAAGTAGAAGAATAGGATTTACTGCAAAGGGGACCAAGAGAACTTTTAGGGGTAATGACAGTGTTTTAGCTATGACTGGGGCAGTAATTATATGACTGCATAAATTTGTCAAAACTCATAAAATTAGACTTAAAATTGATGAATCTTATTGTATATAATTTACACTTCAATAAAGGGATTAAATTTTTTCTTATACTTTTTAATTTACCAAATTTTCATAAGTATAT